ATTAATTTTTATAAAATACAAAAATATAATCCCTTTTAAAAGAGAAAAATGAAATAAAATGGAAAACAAAAAATAAACGTTAATAAAATAGACGTAAATACTTATGTACGCATTAAACATAAATAAATGAAATAAGTAAATAATGTTTGATACAAATAATGAAGAAATGTATATATTCTAAATTAACGGATTGTTTATAACATTAAGTACTATGTGTTAGGGTTAGAGCATTAAATACTAGGATGTTTTATAAACATAAGTCAAAATTTCCTTAAGTCATTTTATGTGATATAAATGATGAATTCATCATAAATCATTGATATTTCTATTCTCAATTTTCATTGATCATCTATTACACAAATTAAAGGAAAAAAATTATAATATTGAGGACGTTGCAAGAAAAAAATATCCTTAAGTTTACCAAAAGATGTATTTAATATTAAATTGATAAAATATACAAGTCATTCTTTTTAAACCTTATTTACTTCAAACAGTTTATTTAAACAAGCATAAAATATATGTAATAAGTTAAGAAATGCGAATACTGCTTTTTCCAATTATTGTGATTATTCTATTATCTTGTAGTTCTCTTAAAGCATCTTCAAACATATCTCTAGTAATCAGCTAAAAATGTAATGATGTTATTTAAAAATTTTTTCAGTAGTAATTATTTGTATACATATATGTATACATTTATACATAATTGTATACATATATAAATATGTATTTTTACTGACCAATTCAGAAGACTGCCTTATTTCAGCAAAAAGTTTTTGTTGATTAAGTATATGAACTTTATCTTTATTTTCAATAAGTTTCTGGAGTGCATCATATATTTCCTTTTTTTTCTTTCTAGCTACTGAAGATATACCTGTAGTTAAAATAGTTATATCTATTTTGCCACTTAATGGATCAATTGCAGATTGTTTTAAAGCTTCTCTATGTAATCTATTAAAAGTAATTAAATGTTTAGGTATATTTTGAATTTATATTACTACTATTACTGTATTTAAGTACCAACCTCCATGCCTCTTCAACATCTTGCAATTCTACAACAGAACTTAATCGTACTTTAGCATGCGCTTCAGACAATCGGATCAGAGATTCTAATTGTCTAGGATATGCTGTTATTTGACCACGTCCTCTTCCAACTCTTCTCATATCAACATAAGCTTGTATGAGTCTTTGTTGACTTTCTTCATTGAGAACAGGATGAACATGTTCTTTTGCAAAAACTATATAATCACGAACAATACTTCTACTTATTTGTTCATCTTCAGTTTCTTCTGGTGTTTTGTAATACAGGGACACCATATGAGTCGCAAGTTTCTTATCGTAAGTATCGCTTTGAGGATCTAACATTAAAAAAATTAAATCAAATCTAGAAAGTAGAGTATGTGGTAATTTCACATTTTCAATCACCTAAAAGAATATATATTATAATAAGATGTTTATCATGTACATATATGTCAAATAACAAAACATATATATAAAATTATTGAAATATACAGTTTTATTTTTGTTCCATTGAGATTCACATGGATTAGCAGCTGCAAGTATACTAGTTCGAGCATTTAATTGACAAATAATTCCAGCTTTAGCAATGCTCAAAGTTTGCTGCTCCATTACTTCATGTAATACTGATCTTGCATTTTCACTCATTTTATCAAATTCATCAATACAACATATTCCATTATCTGCAAGACCTAAAGCTCCTGTTTGTAATATTAATTGTCCAGTTTCTGGGTCTTTTGTAACATAAGCTGTTAAACCAACTGCACTAGAACCTA